ACACATAAAACGTTTACGAAAGTCTCGAAGTCGAGATCAATCAAAGCGTCACAACCGCGTCACGTAACTGCCTACCACTGTTGCGGTCGGAATGGCATTGTGAGCATGATGAGGAGGCGGCGGGGCGAGAGGGACAAGTTTGTCCACCGTCGAACCAGAGGCGCAAATATCGGCATAGTCGGAAAAAGGCCGATTTCGCTTCTTGTACTTCTCGAACGTCTTCGACCGTAAATAATAGTCATAGTCCGGCGGAGGAGGGTACATAGTCGGCCGTTGGCTGGCACTGCCTTTTTCCTCGTCATTGAGGTCCCTGCGCATCACGTCAGATCGGCTGTTCCTTTCAGGGTCAGAATCCGTCATTAATTCAGAAGAAGGACGCTGAGCGAATCCACGGGAACCCTCTTTACTACCACGATTTTGCTTCTTCAGTCTTAAACGGCATAAATGAGAGTGCACAATATAGGCAGATAAGGGAAGAAAATATTAATTTACTTTGCGGGTAGGTCTCCATATGTCTTTGGATCTGTTTTCCAATTCTAAAGTAAATAGATTTTAGACCTAATCAGTACTTTGACACTACTTCATAACGTGTAAAACATTGTTCTTGAAAATTCAATAGCCAAAAAATAAATTCGAAAGTAACGATTTGACAACGCTGTCGATCTATAATTTACTCACCGGGGTACATTTCTCACGGGGAGCGCAGGTTACACACTGGACTGTAGGTTTGATTTCCACTTCACATGGCTCGAATTCCAACAGGACGTAGATTTTTAATTCATTTGAACATTAAATTCAACCCTGTGCTTCGGTACCAAAGGTCGAGAAGCGGGCAGCAGGTCGTGGACTCACGAGCAATAGTTACAACACGATGTTCCGACACAGCTTGTAACATCAGAACTTGATACGCTTTAGCCAATGTTACTTAATGGCTATGATTTTAGTGTTTGTAGATTTGCAGACTTTGTTTCGACCACATGAGAGTCAATTAATCAACACGCTACAATTGGTAAAAAAATAAAAAATAAACAGAACTCTGTCTCTGAGCTCAACCAATGGAACAACCCGGTTTACAGAAATCCAACAGACCACGGTTGTTATACTGTCTGAGCTCAGGCACAGAACCGAGAAGTTCCGCTTTCTAGCCCTAGTCAGATCATTGGCTCTCTTTCCTTCCGAGGCTGATAAATGAGAACCTCTTCGCTGAAAAAAAGAACACCCCAGGCTATGTTTGCCTCATACTTACCGTTGATTCTGCCTTTAATATAAGTATTCTCTGCCTGAATAGCAAGGATACGGAGATAACTGCTCAGCTATTAAATGAGGAATTCAGAAATAGCCCCATCAAGAAAGAACACGGAAGACCGGCATTCCAAAGATACAAATTTCACGTTTTATTCACTCAACCATGATCTGCGTTTTCGCAGAGGTCTCTTAACTAACTGAATAAATAATCGGATCATTTACAGTATGAAAAATTAGACAAAACTTTTATGCAGTTCTGCAAGGAGATGAGACAGACTTAGACCACTGAATAGGGTTGTGACGATAAGGAATTACCAGAATTTCCATCCATAGTGCTGTTAGTAAAACTATTATTAAACTTGCAAAGATAGTTCACTCAAAAATACAATACAGTTTTGTAATTACACTTCCATTCTCATTTCTCTTACTTCTCGAAGTAAGTACATGTGTCCTAAGTCGGATAAAGGTACTATTTAAACAGGCCGCTGAACCATGATATACAGACATACAGTGCACTGGATGCGTGTTTTGCAATTATACCATAATATTAGTAACCTTCTGCATGATAGAGTTTTTTACATCGATGCGAGGTCTCTCAAATAAACCAAAGGAGAGTCCAATTTTCCCATCCATGCAGAACCGTCAATGAAACACTGAAAAAAAGAAAAGTTTACAACCGTTGGAATCACGATTACGGACCATTTATTGTACTCTCATTTTCATAAAGCTTATTGTGCAGTACCAATCATCGCTTCTATGACATCTTGTAAAGACAGCA